ATATTGTTAATAATTTTTAATTTTATTTAAAAAATTGTAAATACTTTTTAAAATTCCAGGCAAATTTGCCTGGAATACAGTTTAAGAGATAATAAAATTTTTATAATTATATATAATACTTTAAAACAAACCACGTATATAATTATAAAGAAGTACGACTATATATATACTGTATATAAATAAAAAAATTTTAATTAAATTTGGTTTAGATAATAGTTATTAAAAAAATTTCATCTAAAGTTAGAAAAGCTATTCTGTCTATTACTTTAAAATTCATAATCAATTTTGTTTGGTCGAACATGCGTAAATTCATTAAACTTATGATAAATTAGAATTTCTAAAATATTGAAGAGCTAAGTTTAAAGCTTAAAATCATAATTCGTGGTAAACAAATTTGTCCTATTAAAGATTTTTATGCCAAGTTTATCAGGATACGGCACTCGATATTATTCATATTATTCAAAATAATCCAACGACTCAAGAACAAATGACTGAACAAAAAAACATGAAATTCAAAGTAACTGCAGTTGCAACAGAACAAACTGCAAAACTAAGAGCTGTTCAAATTATACACTCTGCGTCAGACGTTGTATATGCGTGTATTACGAGGTTAATGCAATAACCTCTGTGAACTATCTAAAATTGTCAACGGGTCATTTTAATTTTTTCGAGGTCAAACATATAATGCTTGAATAAATATTAAAATGTATATGCTGCTTAATTTTTATTTTTATTTTTTATAATCATTATAATACGATCATTCTATCAACATATGTCTAATTATGATGACTTAATTCAGAATTAACAGTTATTTTTGTATGAATTTGTTCATACGTGACACCCATACGTATAAGGTATACAAAATAATCGATTGATTTCTAAATAAAGGAAATTCTAAAAAATCGTAATTCATCTATGTCAAAAGCGTATACGTACAATTAATATTAATAGACCTAAATCGCACCTGGGAATTTTTTTTTTCGGATTTGTTATAAAGTCACAGCTATGTGAAACATGGCCATGCTAATTGAAACGCTTATAGTTAATCGATTCATCCGGCCTCCTCCTAGTCATGCATTACATAATATTAGGAATGTTTCAAGAGTCTATTGTCCAGCATTTGTTTTTAACAATTGATTTTAGAACTGAAACAATCTATATTCGACTCAGTTTTAGCTTTATACATTTAACCCGAATAATTTTTTTTTTCGGTTTACGCCGTTAATATATTATATAAAGAAGCGTAATTAGTGTTAGAATAATAATAAATCCATAAATATATCATATAAACATAAATAGATCGATATGCAATAAACGCGTATCGATCAAAAAATTATTCAATACAAATATGAAATTGACTACACTGTTGAGATGGTAAAATCTACAACTAATTTAAAGATAATAAATGGTGTAAGAAAAAAATTTTTAGTATTATAGTTATCATTTAATATGTACCAAAACCTATTTTTGATGTGTATAATGTAACATATATATATATTAAGAATTTTTGTAAAATTTACTGTCATTTTCGTATACGTCGTCGTCAGCAAGTATAAATGCCGTACGTAAATTCAGAAATTGTGTCAATTAAGATTTTGAATCGATAAAATTAGCCTAATCAGACACAAAATCTATTTTTGACGCACAACACCTACAAGTTTTATACAAACTTTTCACCTCGATCCAAAATAGTCACTAGACCAGCAATGACTTTAGCCATACCATCACCTAATAGTCCCTTATTCATACCAGATTTACCACCTAAATGCTCAAATTCAGCTTTCATTGAATTATCAATTAATAAAGGTATTGTTAGCGTTATTCGAGCAAGTTGGATGGTTAATCGCAGACGACCAAATACATCAAAGTATGAAAGAGCACGAAGTTGTTGTTGAATTTCATATAGACGGATTAATTCGAATTGAACAATTTTAACGTATTTTTTACCAGCTAAATAACATTGACAGTTAGGTTAGAGTATGTAGATTCGAATAAATTGTATATATATATATAAAAGGATAAATTTTTTACATACCTAAAAGTAATTCTCTCATTCGTCGGAAGGCAGTTTCCAAAGTCTCAATAGCATCTTCACCTAAGTTGAGACCAGGATTACCTTCATTTAATGCATCTAAATAGCAAGAATTGAAGATATAGATTAATAAATATTAAAAAGTATTGACGTAATAAACATACTGATTTTTTTCTAAAAAAAACAAAACGGAGAACCAATTAACAACACATATATGTATTACTTACTAACTAAAGCTCTAATCATTTCGAAATCACCGTCCATGAATTCCAAAAACAACTATTTTGAAAAAAAAATAAAGTTAAATTAATAACAAATTAAAATGGTATAAGGGTAAACATTAGAATAAGATTAATAATAAATACTTGATATAAAACACCATGTAACGTTTCGTCACCAGTACCATTGACACTACCTAAATCACTAGTTCCTGATATATCATAAGCACGACGCGTTGATGGTTTATTCAGTGTTTCATAAGCATAAGCCAATTCTGTAGTATAAAAAAAAATAGATATTAGAAAATGATTTAAACAAGAAAATTAACATGTAGAAATAGAAAAAAAGAATACTTTGAAATGCTTCAGTTGCTTTTGGATATTCAGGAAATTTATCAGGATGACAGATCCGGGACCTCTACATAAATCGCAATTTATATTAAATCTTAAGATAGCGGTACAATTTTTGATTAATATAGAAATTTTGTGACTATCAGCACAACAAGGCTTCTTTTTATGTCATAATTGAACATAATTTCATACGGACATTAAAAAAAAAAAAAAGGTATGGATGAAAGACTTACACTGATATAAGCTCTTCTAAGTTCATCTGAACTACAACCCCGGTCAACACCAATTATAGTATATAAATTTGTTTCAGCACAAATATCATCTACAACTTTATATCTATAATCATTATCAATGACCCTTCTGTTATTAGGAGTTTTATTTGAAGAGTTATTGGTATTAGGTGAATTCATAGTGGCAGCAACGTAAGCAGAGGCTGTTGTAGAATGAGTATGAAAAGTTGAGTATGCAGCTGGAGGCATTTTTGGTGATTTTGAGTAACGTGCCTTTCGGAAGGAGCTTTTTTTATTCGAATATTGTTTATTATATTGATGATAATGGAAGTGTTGTTGATTAGAATTCAAGTGTAGATAATATTTGGAGTGTGGATTAATGGGCTTGCGATTACTGCAGTAAGTGGAATGGAAAGTTTCTCTAGATAAATTTATAGGTATTTGAGCAGTCTTTTGCGGTTTAGACTGTTTAAATTCAGTAACACCAAATACTAAGTTCGAAATAAAGTTGTAAACAAACATTTGAAACGAGAAGGAGAGAGAAGGAAGTTTTTAGCTTCTTTGAAATAGATTTATTGTAGCAGAGTTCGTAATATCTACCCAACCCAAAAAATATAAAGAAAAAATCGGAAGTAAATATGTAGATACATACGGCGTTAGTTAATAATTATAATCTTTTATCGACAACAATTAATAAGAAGAAAGGTATTAGGTAAACGTAATTTATGCAAACAATAGGAAAAATGATAAGGCGTATGAGAGGTTTTTAATATAAGGTTAAAAGTAATACAGTGCTGCAGCTTGATCATAAAAAAAGCAAGAGGAATGAAAAAGGTAAAGAAAGTAGAGTTATAGTCAAACGCCCTTTCTTACGTTTTAGTTCCTCCTGCCTCTTTATTTTTTTATTTTATTTTTTTTTCTCGCAAGCACGAGGAAATGTATAATGGTGTAAATGACAGGGTCTTACCGTAATATATAAAAGGAAAATAAATGAGATTTAATCGGTATATGGGTGAGATAGGCTTTAAGTATATAAAATATCTTAGGATTTGATTATTTTGATTATTCTGATAAAAAAGAAAGATGAATTCACATGTCAGTCCGTGAATTTAAATTAAAGCATTTCAACATTTATTGATTTTTCCAGTTCTTTGGTACTAAAACGTCATAGATCAGTTGCAACCACAGAACTAGCATATGATTACTTGAGTCAGGTATCATTATGTATTACAAAATGACCACCAATAACCCTCCATCGAATGTTTTATAAAGAAGAGAAAAAGCATTGCTTACCTTAAAATGCTTTGAAAAATGAAATGCGGTTTTGTTTAATCAATTCGGGGTGTTATCATAAATTTTATCACTAATTTTGTCATAAATTTATCATAAATTTATCATAAACTTTTATCATTGAATAGCTATTTAATAATGATACGTAAAGAATAATGTTGGATTGATTAATTCTTCACAAGAGATGTCCTTTTTTTTTAAAAAGAAAAAAAAAAGACGAAAAAAAGTTTTTGTCTTAGAGAAACGAGTACGTACGTACATAAAAGTTTTTATATAAATTTCTCAATTAATATTTTAAGTCAATAATGCCAAAGAAAAAATTTTCTCTTTTGGGCTTTTGAATTATAATGCACAAGAATATTCAGATGATTGTTCAAAGTGCGTCATGGTAAACAACTATCCAAAATTATTATGGTAACAAATTTCTTTTTCCAAACAAATATTGGCCAAGAAAAACATCTATTAAACTATAATCGTGTGATATAAGTATTTAAACGGTTACATTTCTCAAAGGCCTCAGATAATAAGATGCGTATGTCAAAATGTATATGTACTCCACATTCTTGTCAAAAAGTTTTTTTTTTGAAAAACGAAATTAATATATGGTTATATGATGTGTAGATACCATCAAAATAGAAAACAATGTTTATATTGTTGACAATCTTTCTCGTCTGGCGAAATCTTATCTGTGACTTAAGGTTATTTTGCATTAATTAAATAACGATAACATATTTTTTACAATAGTTGAATAGAGGCAATTGTTAATTGTCAAGAAGCGCTTCGTATAAACTTTGATTATTGAGCAACCCCAAATATTGTGGAGTTAAGCGGACAAAATGCACAATTTGGTTCGCGATCCTCTAATTTTGTGGCTTATACTCTTAAATAGCCACAAAGTTCGTTACCCTTACCTTATATGTACGTGCATCTATAATAACTAATAAACACTTATAGATTTAGATTTAGGTAGATTTAATATATTGTTAGATCATTGCTATTTTTGCATAAGTCACGTGACTGCCACTTTTCGCTTAACTATTTCAGGAGCCCTAAATCAGGGATGGTAAATAATAATACAGTAATCTCGTAACTCGTGAATTAAAGGAGTGAAAAATATACTATATACGTATTTTTAAAGCAATTTTGAATACAAAAAATAAATAAATAAAAAGTATATAGCTTATACGTATATTTTCGGGTTTACGGTTTTTAAAATATTTTTGCTAGATAATATATATATGGGGTTGAGTCAATAGAAACCAAGCAAATATTTTTTAATTAGTTTTTTTAAAATTTTAAACAAGAATAACTTAACAAAAACTTGATCAAATTCAATAAATTTTTTTTTAAAATAATTCTACAAGTTTGTAAAAATTATTTAAAAAAATTTTTATCAAATTTGGTCAAGTTTTCATCAAGTTATTTTTGTTTAAAGTTATAAAAAAAAAATATTATAAAAAATTTGCTTGATTTCTATTGACTCACCCCCATATGTATATATATATATATATATATATATATAAAAGTAACTAAGTGTGTTTATTTTTAAAAAAAAATTTATATATACAGTATATACTGTATATATATATATATATATATATATATATAAGGTAAATGGGGGTATTGTGGCCAGGTTAAAATTCTCACTAATAGAACTTTTTATTTAATAACAAAATTTTTATATAACAATTACTATTTAAACTATACTCAATATAGATTAAATATAGTAAAAAAAGATGTTTGTATTATAGATATTTTTGGACATAAATAATCGATATACAAAATGAAATACAATCCCAGATTTTAGAGAGAGGAGGGTATTGTGGCCAATTTTAAAAATTTATACAGAAAAATTTTTTTTATCATATTTTACTTCTTTTTTTTTATTTATTTATTTATTTAACTTTTCTACTATTTTTTGTTTATTTATTTACGCTAGTTTTTTTTTCTTGTATTCTTTTCTTTCTTGTTTTTTTTTGCTTTCATTTTCCTTTTTTTCAGTTAGATTCTGCGATTTTTTTTTTTGCTTCTTCATTCGCTGTTTTTAGTTGCTATCAACTTTTTTTGGAAGTAAAAAGCTGAGCAAATGGCAAGGTTTTTCTTTTTTTAGGGAGGTATTGTGGCCAACTGACGTATCTCATGATCTGATGATCAGAATCTGTTAATTTTTGTACCATTCAAACCGTCTTATTGAGACAGTTCAAATGGTATAAAGTTTATCTAATTCTGACTACTATATCATGAGATACTATTATTTAAGCAAATTATAAAAATTCTTTATCTTGAGGTTTAACAAAAGATATTCGTAAAATAATAAAACCGGAATTCTATACTAAGCTAATCAACCTTTGAATATTAAAAACATTAAAAAATGTATCTGTAATAATTAAACTTTATATAATCTTATACTTTTGTGAAGTTTAAATAATTTATTATTGAAAGTATTATGATAGCAATCCATTTATAGTAAAACTATGATTTTCAAATCTATTTAAATTCAAAAATTTATTTAAATTCAAATCAAGAGTTTTGCCAACAAGTTTATCCTTTAACTTATATAAATACAAACAAATATATATTAATAAGCAGTAAAAAAAACAAAAGTACTTGTATGGTTCTGTCCTGTTCCCATTAAAATTTCAATCAAACAACAACAAATTTGACATGATAACAAATAAAAAAATAAATTAATCTTATATGTTATTTAAAAGTAATTTTTTGATTTTAATAATATGTTAATTAAAAAATTAGTAGTAGTAGTTTTTTCTTTGAAACTTGTAATACAATATAATATTTCTCTACCATTAAATTAATAAATAGAAGTTAACACGTTACATACTCATACTTCGCTATATTATTAGCTGTAGCAATTTACAAAACCACAAGTTACATAATTTTGCAAAGTGTAATAAAGCATTAAATGCCTAATTAGATAGTGTTAATTTAATTAATTATTATTCTTGAATTATTTATTATTTAGCAAAATTTATAAAATGCCAAAAAAGATTTCTGGTAATAATTAACGTGAAATTAATAACAATCGAAATAAAAAAAAATTTTTGTGATACTTAATAAGTATAAAAATCTTACTGGTAGTAAATGCCTTAGTATAAATAGACTAGCAGAAAGCTATAAAATTTCTAGAACTACTCTTCGCCACACAATTAATAATGATAGCCCTCTTAATCATCAGGGCCCATCTACTATTTTAACAGAATATGAAGAAAACCAACTTGTCAAATATTGCATTAATATACAAAAACTTAAGTTCAGACTAACCCGGTCTGGTGTCAACCATTGTGTAATAAAAATAATGAAAAGTAACAAAAGATCACATCCATTTGGTAATAACGGACCAGGTCAAGATTGGTGGACCTGTTTTATGAAAAATCATCCTGATCTTTCATTTCATGTTCCCCAAGAGTTATCCAAAGCTTGGATACAAAAAGCAAATGCAATTATTGTTAAAAACCATTTTGATAAATTAAAACAAATAATTGAAGAAAATTCATTTACTGCTATGCAAATATAAAATATAGATAAAACTAGGTTTGTTCTTGTACCTAAGTTAGAAAAGGTTATTGCAAAAAAAGGCTCACATCAGGTTTATAAAGTCACACATAGGAATTCACACAAACATATTTCTGTTGTTTCTATGATTTTGGCTACTAGGTCATACATTACACCCTTAATTATTTATAAAGGTGTTCATGTAATTTCTAACTTGTTAGAAGGTGTATCTCCAAGAACTGTAATAAGTTACACAAGTACTGGCTACATGCACGAAGAACTTTTCCAAATATATCTTCACTATTTTACCAATTCTATCTCACCTACTTGCCCCGTTTTACTAATATTTGATGGCCACAAAAGCTATATAAGCTACACAAGTGTTGATTATTGCTGCATAAATAGAATTCTTCTTTATGCATTGCCTCCTCATATGACTCATGTTTTAC